AGCCTCTTTCTTCACTATCTTCTAGCTGGCAGAAGTTACAGCTACTGTATTCGAGCATCATTTAACTTTGTTGTTTCCAATGATGCTCAATTTTTGAGCAGCACTGTGGCTTCATGCCATCGAAGGGTAGCGCTAAAAAGTAGAAGTAAAGAAATAGGAAAAAGGAGAGGATGGGCGACAACGAGAGAGAGAGAGAAAGAGAGAGAGAGAGGGAGAGAGAGCGAGATATAGAGAGTGAACCAAAGCTACGCAAATCATCGCTGTAGTAGAAGCCGATACAATCGCTGCAACCGCCAGAAAATGGAGCAAGCCTGGCTTCAAAAGGACAACTAGGCCGAAAGCTCTTTCCAGGCCATCCCGGGGTACAACTAGTGCATCCCCCAGGGGGTCAAGCTGCGCCATTGAGATCCTAAATTCGTGAGCACCAGGAAGTTATCGATGCCCTTTTAGATGCTTTTAGAACCCGACGAAAAAAAATTGCTTATCCTAGAATTTAATTTGATTCTGGCCGATAAGTGGATAACTTCAAAAGCGGCAAAAAGCAAGGTCAAGTGATGTCGACGGGGGGGACAGTGGGAGTGTGATAACCCGCCGACTCCGGACCATTGCCGATCGCCATCCAAGTGCTACATCCCTATATACCCACGGATATTTGGTGGGCCAGCTGGGGAACGTTTCAGTGGACATGAGTCAGACCCGATGTTTTGAGGTTGGGCAAGAGAAATCGGGGAAGGGGACTGGGACTGCGGAGAACGAGCTACCGCGAAATTTGCTCGTTCTGTGGAGCCCCCTGGCTCTTGGCTAGTGTTTTTCGAGAAGAAAAGAAGGGTTTTCAACCATCGCCCCTGAAACGCTCCCCAGCTGCTGAAAAGCTGAAAAAACACTTGAGACACCAAATGAAATGGCACCAAATTCGAAAAGTTCTTGGAACAGCTGCCATCAGAGAGAGGAGAGGAAGACAAAGCGCAATCTAATAGCGGCGGTTTCTATGCCGACTGGTGCCCTTTCGACCCTCAAAAGTGCACAAGTCGTTTCGAGTATTTCCTCGTATTCTTCCGCCCTCTCATCCCCCAGATCCTACTTGAAACATCACCGTCAGGGTGGCACCACTTCAAGGGGACTTCAGAGGACGGGGAAGTACAGTTGGCACCAAAAGACACCAATTCGGAGTAGGTTGGAACTTAGAGCGGTAGCCGAAGGTCATTGAAAGCTAGAATCTATTCTTCAGTTTGATGAGGCTTATAGCTAAAAATTGAACAAAAATTGTAAAAGGCAAATTCTGCACCCAAAAAGTCATGCAATACCGACAAAACCACAAGCGATTTCGTCGCCTTCCGGCTTGCCCTTTCCCCATCACCCCGTCACGGTATGCCGTATGCAAATCGCGCAACCGGTCGCACACCCCGGCCGAAGGTTGCATTGAGCCCACGGTTCCGCGTTTCACCCCGGCCTTTTTCGGTTTTTTTTCCGGGGTTTTAGGGCCGAAAGTTGGTGTGCCTTTGTGGGGATTCAAAAGTGAGAGCGGGTTGGAAAGTTCAATCGGCTTTTGGAGGTGCTGTTCATACATGACATGTTTTCAGGTATGAACAACCCCGCTCTTTCCCTCGCCCTCTCTCTCTCTCTCTCTCTCTCTCTCTCGCTCTATCTCTGTCTCTCTCGCTTTTTCTCTTTCTCTTTATTACTCTGTCTCTCGCTCGCGCGCTCCCTCACGCTCTCTTTCTATCACTCTCGCTCTGTTTGTCTTTATTTTAAGGTAAACAGCTTTTGAGAGAATTTCCTAGTCCCTGAAGCCGAAACTCCCCCAAGCAAAAAACCTTGACGTTCGCTACCCGGAACTGATTTTGAATAATCAATCTCTATGTCACGTTTGGTCCTTTTTTAGGCTCGCCCCAGTCCCAGAAGGACAAACGCAACCAGTCAGTACAACAAGAACAACTCCCGGCTTCCCATTCCTTCTTCCCCCGGCTCCTAGAACTTGACTTGTACCCTGATGGGAGACGAAGGCAGCCAACCATTGCCACCCCATAGGCAAATGCAAACGAACCGGTCTTTCTTGACTTGACTTGACGTGATGTAGCAAGGTGTAGCCCAAGGCGATTGGTTGCACTGCTATATTGCTTCCGTGATCTGTATTACAGGTTTTGGGATGTACTGTAGATAGGAGTGGAACGTAGTGGAGTGTAACGGAAATTCGGAAAAGATGCATACAGAACCGAGCCAAAAAAGGCAAAAAAGATTAGTGACCCATCGAGCACTTCAGATTTCTAGGATTCGCGACTAGTCGGTGTCCCAGAGCTGTGTTTGCGCATTAATGGAAGGAAACAAAAAGCGAGACTCTCGAAATCCGAGAAAAGCTAGCAAGTCCGTTTTAGCCTCCGTTGCACAGGATTGTGGCATACTGTAGAAAGGAATGTAGCGGAATGCTCTCAAAAGTTATCGCCATTCGACTTTTGGGCCATTCAAATTTCGTCGGTGCATTAACGATTGCATTGACCGATTCGGAGTTGCGGGTTTTTGCACCCGTTTTTATCTTACTTTGCCTTTCTTCCTGGTTTTTTAGTGGAACATTCGACGCATTAATGGTAGACCCGCTTTTCGGCGACTAGAAGATCCCTTTCCAAATCCCTTGAAACAGCTTTTTTTGGATTTCTGGCATTTATTTCGGCAGTGACAACCCCTGCACCTCCTCCGAACTCTAGTGCTCCATCCATCATCCGCCCTTTTTTGGTGTCACCCTCGTAAATGGGGTGGAATAAATTATCCTATCGAAAACTGCAAATCCTTCTGCTTCCCCCGGGGCAGGTCGAGGGCAAGCTATCCAGTTTCGTTTCAGAGTGAAGTCGAAGTGGGAATTAATGATATCGTAAGCCTGGGAATTTTAGAAACGTAAGACGTTTTACAAAATTTTGCAATTCATGTGTTTCGGCAAGGTAATGTCCATAAAAAGATAGTTTTTAAAAATCTACTGTTGTTATCGCTTTTTAGCGGGGCTCATCCTGTATTTTTTGAGTTTTAGAGTGATTTTTCGAAGCGCTATATTCTAATTTTCTCATTCCATTATTAATTGGAAAAATATATAAAAAAACCATTAAAATTTTTATCATTATTTCAGATACATTTATTAGTTATCTTTTTTGGTCATCAGGCGTTTTCCCTTAAATCCTACTATATATAAAAAATATAGTGACTGTGTGTGTGCCACTTTGCATGCAACTTCCGTCATTCTGTCCGGAGGATATCTCAAGAGGGGAAGGGTCGTAGGCCACGTATGATACGTCATTAGGTGCGTAATGGCGCTGGGATGACTGCACGCATATCAAATGTTGCAAATTATGCTATTTTCGACATTAAAATTAAGTTTTTGTTGAAAAATCGGCCGCTCTCTTTGTTAGGAAAAATTAGCATACTCCGGAAGTGGCGGCAGCCTATATAGAATGCGGGAGAGGGGTGTTTTTCTAATTTTTTCAATGCAGAGAATTCGAGAGGCGTATGCAGAGTGAAGAATATTATGGGGTTGGACGGGGCCAGGGTTGAAAAGTCGCGAAGCGGCTTTTCAACCCAGGTGCTTTTTAAATCTTAACCAGGGTTGAAAACCCGCTTCGCGACTTTTCAACCCTGGCCCCGTCCAACCCAATAAAAGTTTAGATGTTGCATAATTCGGCACGCCCACGCTGAAAAAATGAAAAATGCGCTCTCTGCTACTTTATATAGGCTCTCCTTATTTCCGGTATATGGTAATTGATTCCTAACAAAGAGGGCGTAGGATTTTTCAACAAAAACTAAAATTTAATGCTGAAAATAGACGATTTTCATAAATCTGATTTGTGTGCAGTCACCTCCTGGACATTATGCACCTAATGACGTATCAAACATGACCTTAACTACTCTCCTTCTTGAGATACGACTGGAACAACCTGACGGAAGTTGCATGCACAGTGTCATACACACACACAAACACTATTTTTTTATATATAGTAGGATTTTTCATGTTCAAAGTTTGTATTTTTCGACGTATCTCGCAATTTCTACATTTGTCGGCAATTTGCAGATTTCCAATTCAGGAAAGGTAATTTTATTCGTATTCGTTGAGCGTGTTATTATGTACAAAACGAGACTAGTGCACTGAGTAAATCGTAGAAAAACAAGGATACAACAAAATAAAGAAATACCCGTTTTTCAAGGCTGGCTTTGAACGAAATTCGCATTTGGCTTTTGAATGAAGGGGAGCAAATTGCGAGCGGAAAATTCATCTGAGCAAATTGCAGGAGGTTTTGCATGGAAATTATCATATTAAAGGGCTGTTGAAGGAATTTTGCTGGCCGTTATGACCTTCCGAATTTCATGTGGTCACAGGTTAATCGCGTCGGGCCGTAGAAGCACAGGATTTTACCGAAATAGATTAGGAAGGACTGCTCGAGCTCGACGATGGCAAACGGGCTCGTGATTCGCCCCTCATCAATGAGGGTGGTTAATTCCTCGTTCTTCTCGGCGATCGTCATCGTCGGGCTGTCCATTATCTAAAACATTTATGATAAAATTAACGAAGCCGAGGATCAGCGGAGGCCTAAGCCAAAGCTTAAGCAAAGCCTAAGCCTAAGCCTAACCTTCCTACCCACCTGAAGCATTTGTCGATCGATGGCCTGTGCCACAGGGTTTTCGATAAATTTTCTCTGCTGCTCGTGAAAGATTCGATTCTCCTGAAGCACGAACGCCCTCTCGTCGTGCCATTTCAGGAAGGTGTCCTGAAATTTGCAAATTTGGGTCCGAAGCCTAGGGCTGACCTCTTCAGAAGCCATAATAGATAAGGTGCGGAGACATGGAACAGCAATGGGGGAAGATCTAGGAGAGACAGTTTCGAAAATTTAAAAGTGCCGAAAGCTAACTCGATTTGCATTTGAAAGCGACTGCGAAGTCAAAAAACAGGCCTAAAGTAACCAGGAAGCCGGAAGCAAGCTGGTGAAGCGCTGATCGAGCAAAGCCAACGGAGAGGAAGCCTGTCTGACGAAAAATCATGGTTTTCTTGGTGAAATAATCAGAAAGCAAGCGCGATTTCGATTGGTGACCTAGGTTTTGGCTTCATCTCCCGATTAAGCAATTCTCTAGGTTCAGGTATAAGCGAAGCGTAGGCGAAGCCTAGTCTTGTCCGCGTATGAGAGAAACGAAGCATTTTAAGGTCAAAACGTAAAAATTCAAAACCCGCCGAAAAAGAAATAATTTGGCTAGCAAGCGGCCCACAAAAAAAGTTGAAAAAATCAGATCCTAAGGAAACCCGGAAGCAGGCAATAAACGATCGTAAAAGGCACTAAACCCAGTGAATCGAGGCGGATAAACTCACATTATTCCCGGCGGGCAAATCGGCGGCCCAGGCCATGATCCTCCCCTCCATTTGGGCCTCGGTCTGGTTCATGTTGTCGTAAATCTCGTGGAACTGGTTGACGCGGTCCGTGCTCAGCTGAAAATATCATGTCGTAAAGGAATTGAGGACCGCTGAAGCTAAAATAATTTTTAGACGACGTTTTCAAGCATTCCAGAGTGCCCCATTCATTTCGTACTCGCAAGAATATAGGTAAAAACGCCAAAAAAACCCACCCCATACAAAAAATTCGGCCGGCTCGGGATCAGCAAATAGGTGAGGGCAAAGACGAGGATGGTGAAGAAGCATATCTGAAAGATGTTGTTAATTTTTTTTGCTGCGAGAACGATACGAGAAGTTTTCCGGATGAAAAAAATCAATTTTTGGAGACAGTACTATGACTAGCGATCTGACCACAGCGTGGAATTTTTTTCAGGTATTTTTACACGGTCTCGACGACATGAAATTGCTTTATCAAATGATCTGAATCTGATTCCAATTAGTTCATCATTTCACTGAATTCGAACACTTATTGAGATTGCAAAGCAGACCGTGAAATTTTAATACAACTAGCGCGGGAGCGAATGCCTGTAAATTCACATAACGACGCCTTGTTGGCGCGCAAAAAAACCCGTGATTTGTTAACTTTGTTTTAAGATTTACTTAATTGTTCTACTTTTAAAAGGGTCAATTTCCCATATTTTCAAAGCTTGTCAAATTTCGAATCCCTGATGCCATTGAAACGCAAGGATTAGCCCAGCCAGAGGTCTCGAACCGCCGGCCGGCAAAGCGAAAAGGGTCGAAAACCAGTTCTACAAGAGCAACCGTTCTTTGCCAGCGGCTGTAATTGAGCCCTCGGCGGGTTGCGGCTGGTGGGAATAGGGGCTGAAGGTCAAGACGTCGTTAACCCTGCCCATGGGCAAGTTTCAGCCACCGCGTTTGAAAAAGGTTGATGCGGAGGGGGATTGGCAGATCGGGGTCAAGACGTTCAGTTTGCAAATGGGATGGGAAGGCTTGCAAATGGATTTTAAAGAGTTTTTCTAGCCAAATTTCGGCCTTGGCATATTTTAGCATGGAGAGCCAGGCGCTACGCCGCCTTTAACACTCCTAAACATTTTTACCCAGTGCTTACTTTTTAGAAATCCTCAAGTATCTCTGCCAGCCGGAGCCACCAAAAAAACCCGGAAGCAAAAAACTGTCAAAAATTTATTTACAGGGATCGGGGATTGCGAAAATTCGAAACCAAAAGTAAAAGACGTCGTAGTAGTAGTAGTAAAAGTCGTCTCGGTGATAAACAAATTTTTGCGTGTCAAAATAAGGCTAGATACATACTACTACTTACAGCACTAACAGCACCACCCACCGATGGGACGACGTTGTTGCTGCACACGTCACGCTTCGGGTAATTCGGAATATAGGTCAACTTCACCGGGGACAGGCAGGCGGTAGGGAGCGGCGGCAGCTTGTGGCATTTTGCTATTGTCATCGTGGCGGGGCGTCAGAATATAGAAATTAGAGCAAGAAAAGATAAATCGTGATGTCGAGAACTGTAGAGAAAATCTGGGCACGGAGGTCGTGGTGTTCAGCTGAAACCGTTGATTTTGAGCTTGTATTTCTTGAAAATATTGTTCAACAAAATCAAGATCAAGCGCGCAAATCATAAAACGTAGAAATTTAGAGAAGCTCAAGAAGTACAAGAAATGAGCAGCTTCAGTTTCTGTTCAACCAGAATATCGCGATAAACTAGCAAACTCTCAAGCTCGAAAACTAAGAAATAAGAAATAGGGGCCGAGTTCAAGCAGCTTAGCACAAATCTCCAGGAAAAAAGGAAAAGGTCACAAGGCTGACATTCTAAAAAAAAGACAAATTTTCTTTCAAATTTCAGAATTTCAGCAAAGCATCAGAGCTTGACTTGCACTGCTTCAGAACGCCGCGCTAAAGAGTAGAAGATCAAGTTCAACTCAAAAAATAGAATTCGAAGTTTACGATGAGTCCGCGGAGCTCGAGATTCAAAAATGAACGCATTCAAAGATTTGGATTGGAGCGAGGAAATCAACTTCTAAAGCTCAATCTAGTTGATGAGAACGCCCTCAAGCAGTTCAGCGTTGCCAGAACATTTCTTGTACTTCTTGAAGTCGAGTAGCACTGATGGCTTCGATACTTCAGCGGAGGTGATAAGGAAGTGTAGGAAGTGCAGAGATAGCCGCTAGGGCCGTCGGATCAAAGCCATGGGGCGGAAAAAGACGGGTTTCCGCCGCCACCAGGGATCCGCCGGGGGTCGTCGTGTCGGTTGTGGACGCAGAGGAGGAGGAGCAAGAGATGGAGAAGAGGAGCACCAGGGCAAGGAGGAGCCCCTGCAGATGCCGATCCACCCCGAGGGAGCGAGGGAGAGAGAGAAAGAGCGGGGGTATGAAAAGTTCCTCGTTTTGGCAGCGTGCGGGGGCAGCACCCCCGTGATGATTTAACTGCCCTCTCCGGCTACGCCCGAGCAGAGGAGAAGAAGCCTGATGGGCAAATCCCGAAATGGGTGCGGATCTCGGGGTGAGGGGTGAGGGCTTTGACCGGGAAGAATGTGGGCTTGCTGGGCCGGGCGTAGTCTTCTGTCAGCCTGATGCTTTGGCTTAGGCTCAGGTTCAGGCTTGGTCTTAAACTTAGGCTTCGGCATACGCACCGGCGTTATGGCTAAGCTTGGCGGCCTGGCTGATGCTCGACTTAGCTTCAGTGCATGCTGGCCTGAGGCTACGTGGTTGGCTTTGCTTTCTTAACTTTCGGGTTGAAGCTTGAGCTGAAGCCTCAACGCTGATCTGGCTGAGCTTAACTTAGGTTAGAGGCTTAGGCTTCGATTCGGCGAGTCCGAAAGCGGATAGGATTTTCGGTAGCGGTGACCTTGTTCGATGCGGTTCCATTCCATTAAAAACGAGTTAAATGACTGACGATGCCAAAAGTCGACCCCTTCACTCCGCTGGGTCCCGACAACTACGCGCCACACCAAAACACATTCGCAATATCCCGATTTTTTTAGCCGGCTACTTATTTGGAATTTACCCAATGGCTTGTACGTATTTTCAGTAATTTTTAACCGTCGGCACCTAGTCGGCCCTAGGGTTCGATTTTTGCACGTAAGGCGTCCGACCCCTTTAAGCCAGGCGGATCCATCTACCGCTGACGTTTTTGTCTTCCCTTTCAAAAGCCGTGTGGGCTAGTGGTCAATCTCGCGTGGGGGGGCGCAGGAAGGGATAGATGAATCGAAATGCAATCGCTCGGAAATCGCATAGGAAGAATGCTGGAGCGATAGGGGAGCTGAGCTTGACGTAGCCTCAAATTCTTGGGTGAATTTCCCAGGCCTTCTTGCGATTTGGCAGGTCGCCAGGGATTGGATTCCGGGGTTTTCTACGGCTTATCGGGTCCAAAACGCGTTAGACAAAGTTTTGACCAGTTTAAACGATTTAAATGTCAACAAAAAATTTTTAGTTTTTCTAAATGCTTTTTTCAATGATATTTCAAAAATTCACATCCCTGCTCTCCCCCGATCGTACGTAGACGCTATTTTGGTGCCTCCAAGACAGGTGCGGCGGATGTGGAGCTCCCAGAAAGCAACCGGAGGGTATGGAAAGTTCCTCGTTAGCGGGGGGGTGAGGAATGGAGGGGTTGATTTCGAGCGACATTTCGGTGAGGAAGGGAAGCGGGGAGCCGCGCTAGTTCTCACGGTATCTTTGGATATAGTTTTTCTTCTCTCTCTCTCCCCCCCTCTCTCTCGCTCTCCCTCTCCGTCTCTCTCTCTCTCTCTCTCTCTCTCTCTCTCTCTCTCTTCTGCCCTTAAGACACAACCCGCGTGCCGATTACCCCCCAAAAGGAAGGGGCATCGAATTCGATTCCTCTCCTCTGAATAGTTCCACCTACCGTTGACCCGGAAAACAAAACCTGCCCGATTGCCTTGTCTCGTGGTGTGGTTGTGGGGGGACGTTTTTTAGTCTCGTGTCGCTTTTCACCTTGCTTGTTTCGAGCGGCCGGCTAAAGTGTTGTTGCCCCCGGGTGGCAACTTTCAGGACTGGTATTTTGTGACTTGTTGTTGCCAGCGGCGAAGGGAGGAGATCGTTTTTATGATGGCACCAAGGAGCGGGACTAACTGTAGCAGAATTAGCTGTTAAATGGTCGGGAAGGGAATGTTGTCAAATTCAACTGATACTTGCCAAGAACGAAGAGGTCGTGCGATGAGCCAAGTTTTACTTAAATCTGGACTTAAGCTTACTTCTAGCCTTAACTGTGCCGGATTGTAGTTTAGGTCGATACCTTGTATGGGGCGGTCCCGCGAATTGAAAAACGGCTGCGAATGCTGCGGCTTCTGAAGCTTCCGAGGTTTTAGAAAGCTGAAGCCGGAAAGCTTTTTAATGCCTTTGAAGACTCGCTTTTCTTGAAATTTGAAAACTTTATAGCCGACGAAGCTTCGGAAATTGGCGATTCAACAAGCTAAGAAGACCGACTAGCGAAGCAGCTTAAAAGCTTAGAATCGATAGAGCTAAGCCTGGCCGCTTCTGCCCTGGGAGGCTTCACATCCGGATGGCTTCGAAAACCTGGAACGACCGGCTTCGAAAGCTTGAGATCGCAGGGTTGCAATTGAACAAGAATGCGAAGCTTGAAATCGACGAAGCTTTCGAAGCCTACGCTAGAGTAATTCTGGGAAACTTGAGTTTCGGAAGCTTCAGCAGCCTATGGGCGCCAGCACCTCGGAAGCCTCAGCGTTTCAAGAGTTTTCATATTCAATTTTCGGGAAGGCGGCGCGTTAAATATCAGTAATGCCGAAACTGCACCAAACAGGCTCAGCTTCAGGTTTCAACAACCACGCATCAAGCTTAGCCTCCCGGATCAGATGATAAGCCAATCCAATAAGTCATCCCCCGAATGACTCACCCGATTTCGAAGTCGTCCACCGAAACGTTCTTGTGCCTCAAAGCCTGGTCAACTATACGCAAGCGCTTGCTGATAACATCCCGAGCAGCGAAGCTGAACGAAGTCGGCAAAGGGGATTAGATGATTTCTGGGCACTTATCGCTGCCCTTCCCGCGTTGAGCATCTTACGTATAAAACTAGCGGGCCTTGGAACAGTCATCAATTCTAATTGCGAATCGTCAGAAGCTAGCAGCATGTTCGCCAAGGTTCTCATTGCAGGTAGGTTAAAATAAGCCTAACCTATAAAAAATCCAATGAGGTAGGGTAAAGTTTGCCATTGAGCATGAGCTTCATCTTGAGCGCGTGCTTTCTCGATAACTTAAATTGCGTATTAATCGAATTGGCAAGTTGGGCTTGGCGTCTGTATTGGCAACTTTTGTCTAAAATTTTTTTCGGACTTTTAACGCAGTGAGCTTAGGCAAATGAGGGTGACGGAGGAGAGCGAGAGGGAGGGAACGAGAGATAGACAGACCGAGAAAGGGAGAGCGAGATATAGAGGGAAAGCGTGAGATAGAGAGCGCTCGAAGCAACGAGAGCAAGAGAGAACATTAGTTAGAGCACGAGCTAAGGTCCTGCCTCATCCTCCAAATTTTGGCAGTGGGTCTTAAGCCGTCCGGTTATGGAGAATTTAATATTCTATAACTACCAATCAACCCAGTCTCTTGTCTGGTAGCGCAAGTGTCTAGACCCAGTCGAGCAAGAGGTTGAATCTAGCGCATTCTGGCCTTTTTAAACATTTTTCGAAAAAAAAACAGGCGTCAGGCAGAAAAAAACTAAGTAATAATTTGCTAATCGCCTGAAATTTGCAATAGAAATAAAGGCTCATTATGAAATTCTGATTCCCGAAAATATTGTATGCTACAGTATTACGGTACCCGAATAGGGCATACGGTACCGGGGCGCGTGTACTTGATGGGGTGCAGTTCTGAGCGGCGCGGGCCGTGACCGATCAAGGGATCGAAATTGCTTCGCTAAACAGGATGGAGCCCCTACATGCCGTATGCACTGGCCGGCAAAAAAGTCAATTCCGAAAAAAGAGCATGCTTAGTTCTGAAGAGAGATGGGGGGATCGGCAAGTTCCGCTATACTACTCCTTGCGCGTTACCATCATTAGGGCATCGAATTAACAACTAGTCAGGACCTTGAGAGCGAGAGAGAACGAGAGAGAGTGTGAGAGTTGGTGAGAGGGAGAGAGTGAAGGAGAGAGAGAGTTAATGCGAGGGAGAACGAGAGAGAGCGAGTGCGAGAGAAGGGGAGAGAGAGAGAGAGGAGGAGGAGAGACTGTTTTTTACGTACTAACTCTTTTTTATTCAACCGTATCGGTGGGGGGTTGAAATAAAGTCCTTCCGATACCCTCGATGAATTCCCTAAAACCCCCCCCCCCTTGTGACTTCTACCGTACACCCCCGCGAGTACTTTCCGGTTAGCACATTCGGCCTCCCCCGCCGCGCGCGGCAAGGGCATTCCGATCAGCCGATTGATAAGTTCTTCCGCCGCATCGGCACCACTTCCTTCAACTCCTCCTCACGCCGCAGGCTATGCCAGGTTCCAAATTCGACAGTCTCTCAGCGCGGGGCGCAGGGATCGCGAACTTATTCGATCATGCGGGGCCGGCCGGGTGCGCCAGGACGGAACTCGGGGAATTGCCGGGTAGGGGGAGATGCCGAAAAAGGCCGATTGGAAGCCGGGGTAGCGGGAATAAATCTTACGGATTCTCAGGTTTAACGAAGCTGAGGGTGAGGCTCTGTGTTTGGAGGACATGAGCTTGCATTTGAGCCGAAGCTAAAGCCTAAGCCCAAGCCTAAGCCCAAGCCTAAGCCCAACGTAAGCCTACGCCGGAACCTGTATACCTATACAAAGCGTAAACCTGCCCCTAAGCCTGACCTTAAACATAGCTTTTAAGCCTAAGCCGAATCCGATGTCTGACTTCAGCCTAAGTCGAAAACCATGCCTAAGCCTAAACCTAGGCCTAAGCCGAAGCCTAAGGCTAAGCCTGATCCTAAGCCTTTGAGCTCTTTAAGCCATTGTATCAGCGAAGCCAGGGCTTAAGCAAAATTAGACAGCTTCCCAATTTTCTCTAGCATCCACATCTACTTGAAAACTCGCCCAATGCGTCGCCGGAACATGCTGGCCCATTAAAGGGAAGCAATTGACGACACTGGCAAATGACAATTGCCAGAGGGGACACAGAGAGTGAATGAAAGAGATAGGGTTAGAGAGAGAGAGAGAGAGAGAGAGAGAGATCTGACGAGAGGAACCAACATTAACGCAGGGTATTCATGACGCCGTTCGGGGGTGCGCCAAGTACCCCAAATTCGGCTGCACATTTACAGCTCCGTGGGGTGGAACTGATCGTTGCCCTACCGTAAAACCAAACCCAAAAGCGGGAACATTTTTCGTGCTCTGGAAGTTCCGGGTCTTTACCGTAGAAGTTCGAACTTGAGTTTAGTTGCCCTTCTCGAACTCGTCGCCGCCGACTGTGATGCGAGCACCCAGGCTGCCATTGTCCAGTGTTATACGCCCTACCTGCAGTACTACGGACTGGCGCCGAGCGGCGGAGTTCTGCCTAGCTACATGGACCTAGCCGTCGCCATCCAGAAGAAGTTCGACCAGATGGGGCAGAAAGCGGCGCAGGATATGTGCGAGTGAGTGTTTTTCAACGAGAGATTAAGCCTAAGCTAAGCATAAGCTTAAGATAAGCCCAAGCCAGAACCGGTCTTCGGAGTCGCACAATGACTTCCAGCAGTTCAGCACTTCTTTAAGTCCCATATTTTAGCCACACAAACTCCCTGGGCACCTGCTTGAACGCGACGATGTACCCGATCGATGTCGACTGCTACAACCACATCGTTCTGGCCAATAACATGACTGAGTCGTACACGTACATGGAGGAGCAGGCTATTCATGATTATGAGTGCAACGCCGGGCTTACCGGTAAGTTGTTTGTCTCTCTTTCTCTCTCTTCCTGGTTTTCTCTCGCCCTTTCTGTCTCTGTATTTCTCACACTCTCGCCTATGATTAGCTTCTTAATTTCAGTGTTCCTCGCCGAGTTCTATTGCGTCCGCGCCGCTCGTCAGAACAACCAGCAGAAGCTTCAGGTTGGAAAGGAAGAAAAAGAGAGAGAGAGAGAGAGATAGAGAGAGAGAGAGAGTGAGAGAGAGCGAGAGAGTGAGAGGGAGAGCGATCGAGAGAGAGAGACACCGAAAGATAGAGAGAGATAACGATAATACCGTGTTCAGCAATGTGACACTGACCTCAACAACGACATCAACAACGGCATGAATGTTTGCAAGTGAGTCATCTTCCGGATAAAAAAAAGGGGACGAGATCGAGCAGTTCAGCTGTCTACTCTCTGTCCTTATCCTTTTAATACCTGATTTTCCAGGGCCTACGACAAATACATCTCCTGCAACTCGGTCATCTACGCCAAGGCGTGCGACTTCAACGCCGGCGTGCTGATGTGCAACATCTACACCAAGGCGATGGTGGGTCGAATTCACATTTTTCTGAAATGGCCCTAAAACGCCTTGAACAAGAGGTGAATCTCCGATTTTCAGGACAGCGTCTACAACTACTGCGACAACAACGGCCAGCTGACACCTTGCCCCAACTATCGTGTCAACCCCAAATTCCTCCTTGGAGTCGGGCCATTCTAATTGTATTTTTTGGCCAGCCATGGAGATTTTCAATAAAATAAAATAATTTATTGTCATTCAAGTAATTTGCACATTCAGCATGTCGGTATTTTTGACCTTATGAAACCATCGCTTTATGGCCTCCCAAGTCATAAATCAATACGGCAGACGACAGTTTCTGCCTTAATCTGATAAAAGCTGATAAGTCCGTCACCTCCGAGTGATGTAGGTGCAAAAAAATAACGTTATCTGCGCTTCCAGCCCTGTTTTAAGGCCTAGGTCCAAAAAGCAGCCGCTTCTTGGGTGATTTACGAAGATGCTGGTCAAAATTTGTTTACTAGGTGAGTAAAATGCCACCCTCTTTTTATCTCTCTCTCTTACTCTCTCTCTATCTCCCTCCCTCCCTCTCTCTCACTCTCTCTCTCTCTCTCTCGCTTGTTTCATACCGCAAAACCGAATTCCCGTTTAGCCGTCCTTCTCGAACTCATCGCCGCCGACTGCGATGCTCTTACCCAAGCAGCTATTGTCCAATGTTACACGCCCTATCTACAATACTACGGACTAGCTCCGAGCAACGGAATTCTGCCCGGTTACCTCGGAGTCGCTGGCGCCATCGAAACTAAACTCGACCAACTAGGACAGAAGGCCGCCCAGGATTTATGCGAGTTAGTTTAAAAGGTTATACACGACAAGAGAGAGCAGATACAGAAAGGAGAGAGAAGAGAGAGAGAGCGAGAGAGAGAGAAAGCGAGAGAGCCGGAAAACGAGAGACAGATAGGGCAAGAAAACAAGAAACAGCAAGCCTTTTAGTCATACCACCGTCCTCGGCTCGTGCTTGAACGCGACGATGCCCAACTCCTTTGATGTGGATTGCTACAACCATATTGTCATCGGAAATAACAGGTCCGAGTCGTCGCTTTATATCGAGGAGCAAGCGATCCATGACTATGAATGTGGAGCCGGGCTTCAGGGTAGGTGATTATTGGATTGCTCTATCTCTCTGGCTTTTGCTCTCTCTCTCTCTCTCTCTCTCTCTCTCTCTCTCTTTTCTCCCTCTTCTCTCGCTCTATCTCTCTCTCTCTCGCTCTCTCTGGCGCTCCCACGCTAAATATTTTCATTTTAGTTTACCTTGCCGAATTTTACTGTGTACGCGCAGCCCGAAACAACAATCAGCCTGCCATCCAGCAATGTGACACCAATCTCAACGACGATCTGGCGAATGGCATCGAGTTCTGCAAGTCAGTAAGCCTAAGACTATGCGCAAGCGTCAGCCGAAGCCTAACCTGGCCTCTACTAGCTCCATGAATTTTTTCTAGAGCTTACGACAAGTACATCTCGTGCAATTCGGCCATCTACTCCAAGGCGTGCGACTACAATGCGGGTGTGCTGATGTGCAACATTTTCCAGCATGGAATGGTAGGAAAAATAATCGTAAACTCAAGCTGAAAATTTTATGAAACGAGATCCAAAAATCTAGGACAGCGTCGTCGGCTACTGCGACCAGGGCGACAAGCTGACAGCTTGCGGGAATTATCGATTGAATCCAAAAATCTTTGTCGGAATTGGGAAGCCATGAATAAAGCTTTCAGAGGGGAGCAGCGACAAGAGAGAGGGAGAGAGAGAGAGAGAGAGAGAGCGATAGAGAGAGAGAGAGAGAAAGAAACAGAGCGGGACAGAGAAAGAGACAAAAAGAGATTGTTTCGTCAAACAACTTTCTAGTCCGCCACCTCGAGACCAAAAATTTCCACACCTCATTCCGGGCGGCTGCTCCTGACGGCCAAGTGTTATGAAAGACGGCGATCTTCAGCCTGTTGCTGACCGGAGAACGCAGATAAGGGGTTCATTTTGCGGCCAATGATGAGATTGGCCGGCTAAGGAGTGCTTCCCAGCTGGACTTGTCATGCTTGGGCGTAAGGGTATAAAATGTATTGCCGGGCCAGGCGGGCAGAAGCTCGCACTTCAGTCTACTAATTCAAATTATCCTCGATGCTGCACAAGATTGTTGCGTTCTGTACGGTTTTTATTAACTTATTTTAAATGGGATTTATTTAATGACTTTCGCCTCCATGAGCCTTGAAAACACCAGCCGCCCAGCCAAGACGCCTAAGATTCCGGCTTTGCTAGCAGCGGTCTAACCTCGGCAACAAGATACATTAAAGCAAATCTACATTACGCTTATAGTTCTAGGTCGCAGCTAGCTGTCGATACCTAGTAATCAGGAGGGGTCGATTGGCAGACATCCCGACGCCTTTAAACTTCGAGCTCTTTCAGTCGCCCTTCTTCAACTCGTTGCGGCTGATTGTGATACCAACACCCAGGCTGCCATCATCCAATGTTACACGCCCTTTCTACAGTACTACGGGCTGAGTCCGAGCAACGGTGTCCTACCTCCCTATATGGATATGGCAACGGCCATGTCAAACAAGTTCGATCAACAGGGAAAGCAGGCGGCCGCGGATATGTGCGCGTAAGTTTGTCAAAAGACCTAGTGTGAGAGTGAGGGAGAGCGAGAGAGAGAGAGAGAGAGAGAGAGAGAGAGAGAGAGATAAGGACGCATCAATAGCTAGGTACGATTTCCAGACATACTCAAGTGCTGAACACCTGCCTGAACTCCACGATGTATCCGATCGATTCGGCCTGCTACAATCATATCGTGGTTGGGCAAAACACTTCCGAGTCTTATCTCTACATGGAGGACGCGGCAATTCATGATTACGAATGTGGCGCCGGAGCGCAAGGTGAGGGAGATAGAGTCAAAGGGAGAGAGCGAGAGCGAGAGAGGTAGCGAGAGATGGTTCCAAAGGGATAGAGAGCAAGAGAGGTGGAGAGAGGGCGAGAAAGAGAAACAAAGGGGTAAGTATGCTTTAGTTTTCTTTGCCGAGTTCTACTGCTCTCGCGCTGCTCAAATCAACAATGCTGATAAGATTCAGCAATGCCAGACGGATTTGAACAATGACATCAATAACGGGATGGCTGTTTGCAAGTCAGTTTCTCTCTCTTCCTCTCTCCCTCTCCCTCTCCCTCTCGCACTCTCTCCCTTCCCCTTTCTCGTTTTGGCTCTCTATATCGATTTCCAGGGCCTACGACAAGTACATCTCCTGCAACTCGGTCATCTACGCGAAGGCGTGCGACTTCAATGCCGGAGTCTTGATCTGCAACCTGTTCACGATATCCTTGGTGGGCTTTGATTTCTAACAACCACTCAAAATAGCATCTACAACCAACGTTTAATTTTTTTTGTTCCAGGACAGCGTCTACAACTACTGCGACAACAACGGCCAGCTGACGCCTTGCCCCAACTATCGCGTCAACCCGAAATTTTTGATTCGGCCGAATGTGTTTTAAAAATCGGTATTCTGAAATAAATCGTTGAAATAGGCAAGATACGAAAGCGTTTCTCAAATCAAAATTGAATCGCCGGTGGCTTGGAATTCGATTTATCCTTGAATCGATATACAAAATACATATTATTGAATACCACCTTAACCTACGTATATCAGTAAAAAAAGACACAAGAAAAATGCTAGCTGAAAGCGCCGGAGAAGTAACTGATATCTATTTTCGCCACTGGACTGTTAGCGGGGGGGGGGGGACCGGGGAATGGTAAAATGGCGGAAAACCAAACTTGGTTTACCTTTTGATTATCTTATATGTATGTTGTCGTGATTGTTTAGCCTTGAACCGCTGGAAAGTTATAAAAAGTTTCCAAATTTTTGAAAAATCGGAAATGTTGACTTTTTAGGCCATGTTTCATTGACCAAAACCTTTCAAAAAATTTTTATTTGTTGCGAGCTTTTTTACAGCTAAAACTTTAACAATTGCGCTAAGAATCATTTGAATTGCGTTAAAGGGCCGCTGCGAGCTGGTATAAACGCTAGTAACTTCCAGGGGTTAGCTGCGGCAGCAGCGGCGTATGATTTTTAAAAAAGCGATCAGAATTCGGAGAAAAATGAGAAAAATGTATCATTATGGCATGTAAACCCGCATTTTTTCTCTCCTTCCGATCACATTGATCGTCTGTGTTGTGAAATAAATATTTTTAATAAATTTTGTGTTGCTGTTATACCGCAAAGCACTCTAATTAAGCTGAAGAGGATGATCGCGAAAACCGAGCAGAGAAAGCCCATGGACGACAATTCCCTAAAATTGATTCTTGCTAAACTTCCTATTTATTCCTACAGACTACAGACCTATATATGCTTTTCACGTCAACGTCAGCTTCTGATTCATTCCAAATTTTATTTGACGGTTCCGACCAACGATGATGACGCTGCTGCCGATGACGTCGCACTACAATTCTGGAATAACGACGGCGGAATACTAAAAATATCGCCACATCCCGCCTAAACTTCTCAATTCTGCACCTGGAATTATTTTAATCTACCGGCTCAACTGAAAAAGCTGCAAAAATTCAGAAACGATTTGCTACCTGCTACTAAACCCCAGAAAATATCTGGAGCCGTTTGGAGTATCGTTTCGGAAAAGCTCAAGTCCGCTCAAGCTTGCGCCGCAGGGTTATCTCGAAACAAACCGCTCAAACTGGCTCCGCAGGCCAAAGAAGGCCCCTCCAGCTTGGACCGCAGTATTGGGTCCTACCCTAGCCGAGCAAACATGCGCCGCAGGCCTAATAACGAGACTAGCAGTTCAAGCTTGCGCCGCATGCCAATGCAAAGAGGTGCGATGGTTGCGTTTTTCTTTCGTCAGGGTAACTTTATGTGGAAGGGCGCTCGATTCATTCATTCCTAGACGGGGTCCAGCGGGAGAGTCGCGCGAAGCGGCTCCTCCCCCGCTGGTCCTTAATAAAAGTGTGAAAAGGGACCTCGCCCAAAGTGTCGCCGGTCCCAAGCTCCGCGTAGACAGGACCGAATTGTATGATTTATATATCAAAATAAAGAGAAAAAAAGCTTTCTATGCAGGAAAGAGGACAGACTACGAAAATCCGAAATGTGAGAATAAAGCAGGAAAAACTGAAACCTCCGCCCAAAAGATCCGAAATTCGCTGGTTCCAAGCTCCGAGGTTATGAGACTAATGGGGCAAATAGCTATTGGATCCGACAAAGCACACTCTGTAGCATATGCAGGACAAATTTGGTCCTGATCGGTTGAGGTTAAGGGGGTCAACGGGGACCAAAACATGTTCGATGCCCAAAGTGAATGATTTTTAAGGTAAACAGTCGCTGGTCCCGGAGGGTACCTTAAACAAATCGGATCGCTTAGATTTTTACAGAGTCTGTACGGTACCATGTACATTATGCAGGACGATTTTAGAGCCGATCGTCCAGAGGAGCGCCGAGTACGGGATTTAACTGATTTACGTTAGGTTCTGGAGTTAGAATTCGAGACGATACTCCAAAAAACAAAGATATAAACCAGTTGCCGGTAGATTAAATAATTTCAGGTCAGAATTGAGAAATTTAGGCGGGATGTGGCGATATTTTTAGTATTCCGCCGTCGTTATTCCAGAATTGTAGTGCGACGTCATCGGCAGCAGCGTCATCATCGTTGGTCGGAACCGTCAAATAAAATTTGGAATGAATCAGAAGCTGACGTTGACGTGAAAAGAATATATAGGTCTGTAGTCTGTAGGAATAAATAGGAAGTTTAGCAAGAATCAATTTTAGGGAATTGTCGTCCATGGGCTTTCTCTGCTCGGTTTTCGCGATCATCCTCTTCAGCTTAATTAGAGTGCTTCGCGGTATAACATGCAACACAAAATTTATTAAAAATATTTATTTCACAACACAGAGAACGCATCCAAAATACATAACGTAGGGGCCTTCTTTAACCAGGGGTAATCAATGGCGCCGAAGGCGCCAAAAAAAATGCGATATTACTAGCCCTTAGACCAGCACCCAGACCCGTTTTTGGGACCAGCGCCGACCGGGTTTTGCCCAAAGTCTTCGGGCCCTGCCATGGACCACGACGACACTTGGATAAATGGACCGCTACGCTGCGCTCTTGTTGAATGGCGCAGATTCCAGCATCTTTCTGTCCCCAAGAATACGAAATGGATACGCAAATCGTACTCAAGATTGATGACATTGCGTGAGAATAACGAATGGCCAGCGCGGCAGATCAGGTCGCGTCATTTTGGCGATTTTTAGTGACGGGATTCCCCGATCTCGGGTGCGGCACGTCTGGCAATAGCACGATTCCCAGCATGGCCCTCTCCTTATCAGATACAACCATCCACACCCCGTATTTCTATAAAGCCTGCACCCAGACAGATGCGATAAGTGTCAACTTAGGCGCTCCCTACCAAGTCGTTCGCCATGGTGTTCCGGATCTGTGTTTTCGGTGGGTCTAAGAATCTCTCCATGTTCTGTTATAACACAATCCCTCTCTCTCTCTCTCTCTCGTTCTCTCTCTCTTCCTATCTCTCTTTTTTCAGGTTTCGCTAAACAATAGGAGCCCAAAAACTTTAATTCCCAGCTGCTAATTTAGCTTTTTTAGTTGCCCTCCTTCAACTCGTTGCCGCCGACTGCGATGCGACCACCCAGGCAGCTATTGTCCAATGCTACACTCCATTTCTACATTATTACGGCCTAACCCCTGTTAATGGCACTTTGCCTCCCTACAACTTCGTGGAAACGGCCATGTCGAACAAGTTCGACCAGCAGGGAAAACAGGCTGCTCAGGATATGTGCGCGTAAGTAGAGAGAGAGAGAGAGAGGGGGTAAAGTAGAATGCCAGCAGAGAGAATGTATTGCAATTTTCAGACATAGCAGAATTACTCCGCTCGTGCTTGAACGCGACGATGTACCCGATCGATTACAACTGCTACAACCATATTGTGGTCGGGAAGAATAGCTCTGAATCCTACCTCTATCAATCCGAAATTGCGACCCGTGACTACGAATGTGGAGCTGGAGCTCAAGGTGAGGGAAAGAGAGAGAGAGAGAGAGAGAGAGAGAGAGGAGAGAGAGAGAAAAGAGAGAGAAACATACGGTGAAAATCAAAACTTTTACAGCTTTCCTCGACGAGTTCTACTGCATCCGCGCGACTCAAGCCAACCAAGCAAACAAGATCCAGGATTGCCGCACCGATCTGGAACACGACCTCAACGGGATGCAGCTTTGCGAGTCAGTTATAATTTTGAAAATTATTCTCTCTCTCTCTCTCTCTCTCTCTCTCTCTCTCTCTTTCGCTCGCTCTCTACTTCCATCTTTTTCACTTCAAGATCCGTCTACAAGCAGCTCGAGCTGGTACCAGCCCTTTAATCCCCCAATTTTCAGTGCCTTCAACAAATTCATCTCGTGCAATTCTCTCATCTACGCGAAGGCGTGCGACTTCAACGCCGGAGTCTTAATCTGTAACATCTTCAAATATACAGGGGTGAGTTGACCGACTTGCAAGACTGTGGTAACCGATTTTTGATTTTCTCGTTGTTCGAATTATTTGCAAGTTTTGCAGGACACCTACTACGAATACTGCCAAGGGAAAGGCCAGCGGGCAGCGTGCCCCAACTACCGCGTCAGCCCGAAATTCTTGTTTCGCAAAAAAATCTGATGTAGATAATATATCGATTGGTTTACGAAGGACGATAAACAATCCCGGTGCTTTATTCAATGTTTTCCGAAGTTTGGAATCTTTGGGTCGATCTCCCCACCCACCATACCACCAGCACCCCAACGAGGCCGCTTGGTTCCGATTCTGAAATGGAGGTTGGGCTTCGACTTAAGCTTGGGCTTAAGCTTAGGCTTAGACTTGGGCTTAGGCTTAGGCTTAGGCCTGGGCTTTGGCTTGGGCTTGGGTTTCATAGATCCATGCCTGAGCCTCCGCTGTATCTGCGGCGGGTTCTGTTTCCTGGGTTTCGGGCCGAAATAGCAGGCCACCGGGCTATAGTAGCAGTTCCGGTGCACTTCCGGGATTCCTAAAAATCGTATTAAATCTCCGAAGAATTAAATTCTTTTAATTTTTACCAGACGGAATCAGCGCTATAATTTTTTGATAATTTA